TGGGAATCATGACCTCCACATCCCTACCCTTCTCACTGAAGCTATGCGTCTGCTCTTGCCCTGGGCTCCTTTCCTTGCCAAGCAGAAAGAACCACCCATACCTGCGCTTGGTGGTACAGCTGCCTCCTGCAGTCATTCTATCTAGGTTGTCTCACTATCCCTTTTCTGATCTTTCAAACTTCTCCATATCTGTGTAACTGACTCCCTATTTAAAATTCCCTCTGATAAAATTGCTAGGGTAGACCAGGTGCGGTGGCTCATACCTATAATCCCAGCACTTTGGGGAGGCTGAGGCAGGAGGATCACTTGTGCTCAGGAGTTCAAGACTAGCCTGAGCAACATGGCTGGGGCAAAAACACATCTCTACAAAAAATAGAAAAATTAGCCAGGCTTGGTGGCACATGCCTATAGCCCAGCTACTCAGGAGGCTGATGTGGGAGGATCAATTGAGTCTGGGAGGTAGAGGTTGCAGTGAGCTGAGATCATGCCACTGCACTCCAGCCTGGGTGACAGAGTGAGACCTCGTCTCAAAACAAAAAGGCAATCCAAAAAATGAGAGGAAGAGAGAGATCTTACCAGTCAATGAATGATCCCATCAGTTTTCACTAACATTTAATGAGATCCAAAGAATACAAAAACATCCAAAATTATCGAATCAAAAAAGAGTAAATGCATTTTAAAAATTTCCCAGCTGTGAAAACCATGATCTTATAATTTGGCCTTGCTATTCTTTTCTATTTAATAATCTAATAATGTAATCATTATAGATTGACTAATCTATAAATATCTTTTTTTAAAAAAAGATATTGATTGAAAGCCAGGTATAGTGGCTCATGCCTGTAATCCTACCACTCTGTGAGGCCATGGTGGGAGGATGGCTTGAACTCAGGAGTCTAGAAATCCTGGGCAACATCATGAGACCCCATCTCTACAAAGAATACAAAAATTAGCTAGGTATGGTGGTGAGCACCTATAGTACCAGCTACTCAGGGGGCTGAGGTGGTAGGATCACTTCAGCCCAGGAAGTCAAGGCTGTGATTGTGCCTGGGCTACAGAGCAAGACCCTGTCTCCCAAAACAACAACAACAACAACAACAACAACAACAACAAAAAGATACTAATGGGAAACTGGACAAGGTGTCACGTGCCTGTAGACCCAGTTACTCAGGAGGCTGAGTCAGAAAGATTGCTTGAGCTCAGGAGGAGTTCAAGTCCAGCCTAAGCAGCATAGCAAGATCCCTGTACCTTAAAAATAAATAAATATAAAAATGCCACCGATTTGGAAGCTCTATGTAGAAATTTAGTTCTAAAACTTCAACCAAGTGTTTTTATCCTTACTCAACTTTCCTCTACAAACAACTCAGGCTCTTGGAAGGCAATGAACAGAAAGAAAAGTAAACAGGAACTCTGTACTTGCTAATTATTTCAATTTTTTAAAGTCTATGCCATGGCAAAATCTTTAGGCATCTCCTAAAAAAAAAAAAAAACTCCACATTTATTTTAGAGATAAACTTGTGAATCAATTAAATCAGGTTTTTAAAATGGAAATTACACAAAGCAATACATAGAGACTAACTGGCTATAATGGCTATTTTCTAAGTCAAAAAAGCTGGGCATTTATATATTCTGAAAGCCTAGTGGTCAAGGTTTGAAAATAAATGTTGTCTTATCTAGGTGTTCTCCATGAATTAAACAATGGACAAATGAATATACTGTACACCTGTCTGGGTAATAAAACAAGTATGAGTTAATAAATACCATCCACTTAGTGAGTGGTTAAATTATGCTATTAATTTATAAAGTTTACTTTTTGAAAACATGGCATCAGCTCTCCAATTATACAAGTAATTCACTAACATTTCTTCCTAAAAATATATCCAAAAATAATTTTTAAAGAGGTCCTGGACAATATGTTAAATAAATAATATACCAGACCATGTAAATACACATACTCAATGTTTGTTTATGACTGAATGAATAGTTTACATTTATGACTGCATAAGTTACACACAGTATGCTGTGTTAGCAATATACTGTCTAGTGAAATAAGCCTTGGAGAAACAGCCAGAAGCCTTGCTTATATTCCTGACTCCATCAACATCACACTGTAACATCTGGGCCAAGTCACTTTATGACTTATCCTATCTACCTGTAAAATGAGGAATAATAATATCTGCCTTTAATAGCTTACAACTAAAATAGTAACTATAAAAAACAAAGCTGTGGAAGAAAGACATTATGTACATATATTGAATTTCAACTTCTTTATCCAAAATAAAAATCTTTTTTTTTTTTTTTTTTTTTTAAGATGGAGTCTCACTCTGTTGCCTAGGCTGGAAGGCAGAGGTGCAATCTTGGCTCACTGCAACCTTGGTCTCCCGGGTTCAAGTTCTATTTTTAGTAGAGACAGGGTTTTTACCATGTTGGCCAGGCTGGTCTTGAACTCCCAACCACAAGTGATCTGCCGGCCTCAGCCTCCCAAAGTGCTAGAATTATAGGCATGAGCTACCATGCCCAGCCCACAAAGGAAAAATCTTAAAAGTTTTGAAATACCTCACTGACTGATCTTGAAGAAGACAGAGTAATAGAGAAGATAGAGCATGGCTTTTAAAATAAGACAATCTAGACTTCACCACCTGCTTCTATGCTTGTGAACTTGGGCAAGCCTATATCAACTCTCTAACTTTGAATTTCCTCATACATAAAATATAAACATTTACCTCTTACAGGTTGTAGTGAGTATTAAATGAATAAAAATATGTCAATTGCCTAGCACACTGCCTTAAGCATACAAAAAAAGTTTCTTTCCCTTGAAGTTTATGGTTACATTAAAAATCATATTCCCTCTTGGATTCATACAAAAACCTGACTTCAAGAAAAGCTATAAGGCACATACTGGCTCTTCTTTCTCTCAAAACAAAATAATAATAATAATAATAATTTTCAGTCAAAGGAATTTAGCATCAACACATGTATCAGTGAAGCAGGTATTTATTTCCTACCAAAAGTTCATTATCTCATGAGAATATTGCTTTATATAGTAATTTCTTTAAAGTATAGTATTTGATACCTCCTTTCTTTGTTAAGTAAGGGATGGACTAACAATTTAACAGTTGTATACACAGACTATGTAAATTCAACTTTATTATAAAAAGCAAACATACAAAACAAAGATCTTTTTAACCGCCTGAATATACCATTTCTAGCCTAGGGCCTTCTACTTTCAGTGTTAAGCCTATGAGAAAGTACACAAAGAGCCCTCTTGTTTTCCTCTGGTCAGTAGACATACAAGAGTAATTTTCAGTTATGTTAAATCCACAATGATTTCAAAGCTAAAGAACCATGTTAGGAAGGAAATAGTTGAAGAATATTACTAGATACAACTGATTTTCTCATGTAGACATATGATTCATTCCTTCAAAAAAAGCACACAAAACCAACAAAATCCTACTCTGATCAAAGTTCAACCCCAAATATTATAGTAACTTTATGAGAAATCAGTTTAATACTGAATTTCTAGTCATAACATATTTTAAACAAAAAGTATAATCTGTGACAGGAAAGACGGAATGTTTCCAGGGGAGAAGAAGTTTCTCCAGTTCACCTATGGCAAATGCTATTAATTGGATGATATATCCAATATGTATTCAGAATCCAGTAGCTGAATCCACACAGATTTTGCATAGCAAAAACTTTGGCACAAAAAGTGGCAATAACATTTACTCAAAAATAAAACTGGAGTGATATTTAACAGTGTAAAACTTTCTAAACTAAGAAAAAAATGACCATAAAGGAAGTTCATCTGATTTGCTTTCTAGGCAAGGGTTTCGATAGAATTGAATGTTCTTGAACAAACAACAAACTAAAAATTAAACAAACAGAAGTTGGTAGAAACTCTGGAAATCAGCCGCATTTACTCTGGATGAAAATCTTTCTGATAGTTTAAAAGAGAGGAATGAGGGTATAGGTCTGTTTTATCATTGCTTTCATCTAAAAACCATTAATCATTAAAGGTGGTACAGGTATCAAACAGAATTTTGCTTCCATCCTAAATATATGGTTTCTTATAAAGAACAGCACGTTTTGCAGTTCATGGTGAACTTCCTGATGTTTCTGCAAGAGTACTTTTCTCACTCTCCAAAACGACCTCATTCCTAATCTGCTGTTTCTGTTTGCCTCATCTGCACTTAGCAGATCATGCTTCAGTGACTTAGAAATCCCAGCCACCCAAATTCAAGCCAAAGTTTGAATTGATAGGAAAGGCGGGAAAAATCAAGTAATTAAACTACACTTGGAAGGGAGAATGGTTTTACCTCCTAAGACTTTAGAGTGTTCTTTAATCTAGAACCAGAGTCTCCAATTTTTAAGGAGACAAAAGTCATGAATTTATTTTTAACTTAAGGAATTACGTTGTAACTGTTATAATTCTCTTGGCCACATCTTCCAATTTTACCTTCTGGCCATAACACAAAACCTCTAAAACCCTTCCACTTGTTAACACTGGATACTTCAAGTGAAATAGTTCAGTACTCTAAAAAGTTACATTATTAAGAACTGCCTCAAATTGTTGCAAATTATCATATACTTGGTTTAGAACCTAAAAGGGAAGGAGAAAATGTCTGTAGTAAGCCTGGAGATAAAGCCTGTATAGTTAAGTTTGACAACCATATTCTGGGGTTATTAAGCCAATAGCCAGTGCTAGTAGTTTAAAAAATTCAGTTCCTTTCATCTTATAAATCAAAGAATAAGCTTGAAAAGCTTTCTTAAAAATTAAAACCACCTTAAAAGATGGTGTTACCAAATATGTAGTAATTTTATACAGTTAAAAGTTGAAGACTTTAGGGAATTAATATAATACATAGAAATATCTGAAAGAAGAATATTAATGAACTTATATACCCCAAATCAATGCTCCATTAAAAAATAAAACAAAAAAATTAACAGTTAGTTGTTTTTTGTTCTGCTAAGTCATCTTAACTGGTAAGCACTTTATAACATACCTTTGTAGAATGCCATTTTCCTGGGGTATTACACCATTGATAGCTGCCTGCAAACAAGAAACAGAGAAGGCCATTGAAAGAAACAGATAAATGCCAAATGTGATGGAGAACACTTTCAAAGGAAATACGCATATTTTTAAAAATTTATTTAAATATAATACTAATTTTTTTAGTGAGGCAAAATGTTGTCTACTAAATACATGTTTCTATATTTCTCAGTTATAAAACTGTATTTTAAAAAATTAAAAAACATGCATTTGACATGTAACATCGCCAAACTTTGAGTCATAAAGTCTAATTCCACAGTTCTAATTCAGGCAAAACACCCACAGAACCCAAAGTTTAAGGATGTCTAAACAGGAAAAATCAGTAACTTAATATTATAAACATTTCCTTTGTCAAACTGAGAAGAGCAAGATATAATATCACAAATGAAAGTACTATTTCATGTTATGATCATTATTCTTTCTTTCCTTTTTTTTTTTTTTTTTTTGAGACGGAGTTTCGCTCTTGTTGCCCAGGCTAGAGTGCAATGGCGCTATCTCAACTCACTGCAACCTCCACCTCCCAGGTTCAAGCAATTCTCCTGCCTCAGCATCCCAACTAGCTAGGATTACAAGCATGAGCCACCAAGCCCGGCTACTTTTGTATTTTTAGTAGAGACAGGGTTTCTCCATGTTTTAGTAGAGATGGGGTTCCTAATCACTTTTTATAGTGATGAGGTCTCACTATGTTGCCCAGGCTGGTCTCAAACTCCCAACCTCAGGTGATCCACCCGCCTCGGCCTCCCAAAGTGCTGGGATTACAGGCATGAGCCACCATGCCCGGCCATTACTCCTAATGAAAAAAACATTGAGAAGAAAAGAATATAGAGGCAAAAGTCCTTCAATAAACCTAACACCATGACTATTAACAGGTGACAAAAGGAGGCAGCATTAGAGGAGAGGTTTCCTTATATAAAACATCCCTAAAACTAATCTCTAAGCAGTACCAAGTAGTCAGAACATAGCACAGGTATGACAGGACATGGATGTTTTTGAAGGCTATTAAGCAAGCAGGCTGTCAAATCCTGGACTGTAGACAGCTTACTGTAGGGTAACAGAGAATATTCTCAGGAAAACAAAACAAAAACAAACAACAACATAAGCCCAACTTTTCCAACTCTGTCTTTATACTATAACAACTTCTCCTTCCCTACCCTTCTGTATCCACATCAAAATGAATAACCCACAAAAACAAAATACACCTATCAATTCAATGTTTTATCAGCTGCCTGGAAATCCATTGCCAACAGGAGTTTGGGTATTTTGTGAAATATTAACTTAAGTATTTGCCAGAGGTGGGTCAAATTCATACCATCATACTGTTGAATGGAAATAGAGGGTAGGGTGTTTGCTATGAATTTTGAGAGCTGTAATGTTACAGTGGAAAAAAACAAAGAAATCCACAGATTAATATAGACAATAGATACCATAGAACCCTGACAACTCTGGAGGCTTATAAATCCTTTGAGTAAAGCAAATGCTAAAATCAGTTTTCAAAGACACAAATTCAATGGAAGTATTTCTGCCCAGTACCAGGTTAACTATCCTCTTTTTGTTGACAGCAATGGTTCTATCTACACATATCCCCTTTGCTAAATAACAGTAAATGGTTAAGAGAATGCTGTGTGGTGCTGGAAAAGAAACAAAATACCAGAGCTTAGAAAGATTTGGTTCAAATCTTTCGAAAAACATTTTCACTGAGGAATGCCAAAGTATAATGGAAAGAACACCAAGGACTCAGAAAGTCCAAAGTCTGCAACCAGCCTCTCCCATTTATTAATTTGGTAACCTTAGTGTAATCACTTAACTTATTTGAGCCTCAGTTTCCTTATCTGTGTAATACGTAATTGTATAATGAGCTAAACATTACATACTCAGCCACAAAAGTCCTGCCTTTTTGTTTCTAAAAGGCCTGTCTAGCACAGTGTCTGCACATTAAAGGCACTCAATAATTATTTATTAAAGGAGTTAATAATAGAGGAATACAAAGAAAAGTCACCTATTCAAGACTTAAAGTCGGCTCAGAAAAACCTGGATTAAAAAATGCCTCAGCTAAGGCTGAAGAATGAGTGAAAAGTAGAAAGATACGGAGGGGATTCTATGCAGAAGGAACAGTGCCACAAAACCACTTTTCAACCCTTTCCTTTCCCAAAACCTTACATTATTTTAAATAGTTAATTTGTCTTGGAGAAGTTAGCCCCTGACCTCAATCTTATGTACGGCAAACTCTGTACATAAATAAGTAAAATGTAATCCAGAATTAAGGTACAATAAAAGTATAATTTGGTAAAGCAATAGAGAATAGGGAAACAGATTTTTGACTGTGATGATTAAGGAAAACTTTAGAGAAGAGGGGGCATTTGATCTACGCTTCAAACAACAGGAAGATACAGAAGCAAAGGAAAATTCCAGATTCTAATGTGCTCAATTTTGAACATGTTAACTTTCAGGTGACAGGAGAATATCAATTGTTCATATAATAAACGTGTATTAACTGCCAACTATGTACCAAGCACTATGCTAGACAATTAAGATATAGTGATGAACATAACACAGCTTGCCTTCTACGAAGGACCAAGTATATTCAACAGTTAGTTTTACTACGAAAAATTCAGCTAATACCAAAATGGAGATATCCAAAACGTAACTGAAAAATCACAGCTATATTTCAGTAAAGCAACACCTGTTTAAAGGCAAATAAATGAAGCCCTAGAAATATTCTAACTCCCTCCCTCACTCAGCTATCTTCTTTGTTGAAGAAAAAGCAGACGAAGATAAAATCTGGAGTAATTCATTAAAAACAAAACAAAGAAAAATAAAAATGTAAAGGACAGATAGGAGGAAAAAGACTGGGAAAGTGTTACAGAGGAGGCAAAGAAGAACTATAAGGAGATATTACACAAAAGCTAGAAAATGTGAAAATACACTAAGATTATGAGGCCTAAGGTTATCAGACATATCTTAAAACAGTTTAACAATAACTAAATTATAAAAACTAAAAAGATAAATGGGAAACTAAGAATAACTGACTCTCTTAAAACATTTAGTGTGAAAGGCATAAAGACAGAAACTGTAAGAAGAACAGCTGCAGTAAGTTTTTGTTTGCTTTTTCCCCCCCATAAGAATATTGATTTCTTGAGTGTATAGAATCCACAGGAAAAAGACAAAAAAAGACACAAGAAACAGGGGTAAAATTGAAAGTTTGGTGAAATACAACACTCTTACCAACTGCCTATTCATTGCCAGCACTATGCAAGACTTTGTGGATGGCCCAGTACCTGATCCAGGGCTCAGGAGAGGGGCTCAGATGGAGGGGATACTTTCAGAAAAGAGATCAATAAGATCTGGACCATAGACTAAAAATTATACTGAGTTTATTAACAAGAACTACATCACTTGCTAAATACTACCTCATTGCTTAATATTATTTTTGCTAGGCAGATATTATATCTCTCACTTTATAAATAGGAAAATGATAGACTGATTAAATATTTGGTCAAAATAATAGAGAACAGAATCAGGACAATATTTCCATTTCTGAGACTGACTCAAACAACTATGGTGGATCATTATCATACTGTAATGTATTTTAAGAAGAACATCTTACCTTGACCTAGTTTATACTCATTTGAAACTCAAGTTTGGTATAACTATTACTGCCTTCATGCTAATTATGTTCGTGATATTTTTAATCCAATTAATGTACCTCAATCAAAATCCAGCCTCTAAATTCTGTTTAGCAAAACTGACAACAAAAACAACACACTCTAAAGTGCCATTTTCCATAGTACACTAAAAGGCATACAAGGTATGCATAAAACACAGTGGAAGCCAATGTCAGAGATGGTCAAAGGAGCCTTAACAAAAGGGGGAAATCATGACATTCATGGTGGGCTTTAGACCTTTTGGGGAAAGGAAATGGCAAAAATTTCTATAAATCTCACTGTAACATCACATATGAAAGGAAACCAAGTCACTGGTAAATTGGTAGATTACAAAACAGTGGCATGTAATATAAATCATTCCCTACATGGAATGCTAGGATATCCTTTCTCTAATATATAGAAAATCTTAACTTTAGTCCTTTTTGATAAACAAAAGACCCTTAAAGAAAATGGCAATGACAAATTTTTAAGAGCAATGGAGATGAGACAGGGATGTAGAGACAGGATCCAAAAGCCTCAAGAACAACTTATGAGTAAAGGAGTTGTGGTAACAATAATGGCAGCTAACACTATACCATTTTTATTAAATGTGAGGCATTTTCAAAGTACATTACATGTATCAATTCATTTAACTCTCACATTACCTCAATTTTACAGAGAAGGACACCAAGAAAACGAAGAAAACTGTCACAACAACAGGTAGGCAAATGATGAAAAATAAAGAATTGCTAAATTGGACATCAAAATTCAAAGTGTTTGTCCTTTAAAAGATACCATTAAGAAAATAAAAAGACAAGCTGCAGACTAGGAAAATGTATTTATAATACATGTATCTGAGACAGATTTATATTAAAAATTTATAAAGAATTCTGGAGACTTGACAAGTCAATAAGAAAATGGGGGAAAGATCTGAACAGATACTTCTCTAAAGAAGATATGTGAATGATGAAAAGCACATAAAAAGATGTTCAAATTAGTCATCAAACAAATACAAACTAAAACCACAATAAGACACCACCACACATCCAATGGTTAAATTAAATCAGACAATACAAGTATTAGCAATAATATCAAGCAACAGAACATCTCATACACTGGACATATAACTTTCAAAATTGTGTGGTAGTTTGATATATAGGTAAATATGTGACAGAGGCAGCCGCCACCAGTGGAAGCACATACCACAGCCGTGTTTCCACCGGTACCCCACTCCATTTGATGTATGTACACCCTGCCAGGCACACTGCCACAGCTACTGAAACACACACACGAGCACACGGCCTGCTAACACTGCCGAGACAAAGGGCATTGGCTAGCACCACCCATGGAGGTGTCATG